CCTCTTTCGTTTAATGTCCAAAGCTCTAAGAGCATGATTTACCTCTCCCTCACTTAAATTACAAGTTTTATCGTTAACTCCCCGCCACGTGAAACGAGGGAGTATATCCGACCATATTAAAGAAGTTTGAGGGAATATCTCCCTCAAGTAAGCCACATCCTTTGCTATTGACTTGGTCAAATCAAAAATAGACTTATCAGTTAAGTCGTTCCCTCCTAAATGTAATATAAGCATATCACGAGGTCGCTTAGCTTGTAGCATCAAAAACTGTATGTTTGGTAATAACCCAGCCCAGACCCCACCTCTTTCTCCCTTCATCTGCCATGTTTCCTGCAGCACACCAGTAGCTTCAGCTCTGTGTTTAGCCCAGAAAATAATGGAACTTCCCACAAACCAAACAGTGTTACATGTATCTACAATTAGAAATATGGCGTGTTATACCTACACTATAGAGTACAATTACAAGCGAATATAATTTTTATACGCGCTGGATTTCCACCTGCCCATTCTCATGATATCCTCCTCCTTGTAACCGCGGCTAGCAAGGTCCGTTGCCCTACCTATCCTGAATGAAGATCCAAAGATTTAGTTGCTTTGAATAGAATTGCACAAAATTGACTTCTTGTTAATGGTTTCTGATCAGCATGAGAAAAGTAATATTGAGCGTCTTGGGGTCTCATTAGATCAAAAGAGATGATAGCTCTAACGGGGCACGTAGAGTGATTCAACGCTGGTATACGTAAAGTAGTCGGTGGCCCTGACTGATTGGTTGTTGATGATGTTATTCTGATCAGCAAACTACGTTCTCTACCAATTCCCTCGATAGTGACATCGCCTTGACGAAGAGGGCGATCAGCATATGTCGGATCAGAATACACCAACTCACCAATATGCATCAAACCATAATAAGCCAACTTAAATTTGATAATCCGCATGTCGAGTCGATCAATCTCCGACAAAATGGACGGCCAGGGACAATTACTCGACACACAAAATTAAGCGAGCCTATCAACGACTGTACCTGTTTAAGAGTGCACTTGTTACACCTTAGCATTGATTCGATTTTGTCCAAAATATCCTGAATCTTATCATGTGGAATGCTTAGTGTCATATTAAGCGTATCAATATGAATGCCCAAAAAAGTTAAAGCTGTTACCGGACCAACAGTTTTTTCCTCGGCAATCGGAACACCTAAGCTTGTTAGACAATCCTTGAAAGTGTTCATCAATAATGTGCATTCATTAGAATGTGGAGAACCCCCAAACATAAAGTCGTCAAGATAATGTAGCAATTGATCACTGCCAGCTTCCGAACGAACACAATATTCTAAAAATCTAGCAAATTTTTCAAATGTTGAACAACTTATAGAACAACCAAATGGCATACATTTGTCAAAATAATACAAATTGTTGAAAGTAAAACCTAGCTGATCAAAATCTTGCCTACGAACTGGAAGTAGTCTAAATGCACTTTTAATGTCAGATTTACCCAAAAGACAACCCTTCCCTAATGATTGCACCATGCCTAGTGCTGTATCGAAAGGCGTATATTGTACAGAAGCCATTTCCGGGCTAATAAAATCATTAACTGACTGACCAGCTGGATACGAAAGATGGTGAATCAGACGAAATTGACCAGCTTCCTTTTTTTGGGACTAATCCAATGGGCGATAATCTTAAAGTAGGAATAGGTCGCCCACTAAAAGGCCCTTCGATTCTCCCGGCAGCTAACTCAGCTTTTATTTTCTCCTGAACCACTTCAGAATTTTTTAAAGCTGATTTCAAAGTCTTAACATCTGAAGGTTCACGTGGCCCAGTATAATGGAGCGGAAAACCATCAGAAAACCCCTGCAATATTTCCTCCGCCTCTAGCCTATTCGGATAATTATTCAACTTAAACCGCAGATGATCAATGTTGATTGGAGACTTAGCAAGTGAAAAAGAAAACCAACTGGAATTATCTAACGAATCAACAGAACTTTGAAACACATTATAGCAAGAACTTGAACGAACGAAACCACCAGAAGAACTAATATTTGGACGACTTTCCCCTACGAAATGAACCCCGCTGAAAACCCCTATTTGCTGTTTGATTGAATTGTTTATTTGTTGACCTGGGATCCTGAAAATCAGATCCAGTTCCACGATTATCAACAGCTGTGGTTTGCTTCAAGCAACTGCTCTTACCATGACCATGGGACCCGCAATTCCCACAAGAATGCTGATATTTACATGGATTATATGAACAATAACCTTGTTTATTGAAATCAAAACAGAGAAAAGGTTTAATGCCTTCTTTCTGTTTATAGCTAATTTGTGCACCGTACTCCGAATGATTCTTTGGCCTAGTTACCATGAGGCGCATCCAGAGATCTGGGTTTACTCTTGCCCAAGACTCACAAGTATGCCTCTGTTGCCTCAATCGAAATTGCTCATCATACGAGCGCCACGCCGCAACAGGATACCTCGTGGAAGCTTCTCTTATTACGGACATATACTGCAATAAATCCCCTATTCTTTCAGGAAATTTCTCCCAATATATTCTGGCAATAATTATGAACGCATTTGTCCATCGATCGATGTCCAAAATCTTCTCCGTAGGCTTCGGCTTAGTTACGATGGCTCCTTTTTCCAAATGTAGGACCGTTGTCAAGTTATCTTGATACTCAGTACCCACCTTAAGTAAATGTGCTAAATTTATGTATTGACACGACCAAATTTTATTTCTTATTGCAATGGGTACGTGTAAATAGGCCTAGAGCGAATCGTCCGCCGCAGATATTACACGTGGCGGCTCTTCCAAATCATAGGCGTTAAACTCTGTGCCAACTACGTTAGCCTGCTCTGACTTGGCTACTAGCCTATTGGACAGTCATTAGACAAATCAATAGTCCTAGGATTATTAGGCCTAGCAACATAATGATAAGTGTCATTGTTTAAAACTGTAAGGCCCTGTTTTTGAGTTGGAGCAAGATTTGACTGATTCTGGGCCTGGTAATTAGGCCTAGGCCCATTTGGGTTTGAAGCTACAGTACTCGCAGTAGCGCGTTGATTTTGAAAGAAATTTGTTGATCTTAATGCCTGCTCAAAATCTACAAAACCGTACTCACCCGGAGTATGCGTCTCATTGTTTGTAAGCCTGCCTCCGGTGGCTTGATATCCAGAACAGGATGGCAATTCTTGTGACACGTCCATATCTGTAGGCCTATCACCGGACTCTAAGGCATCTTCGGGGAGCGGAGGGCATAATTGTACATATTCAATAGGCCTATCTGAAGCAGTTTCAGGCCTCGGTATAGTTGTCGATGATGCTTTAACTCTTGATGACTTGGCCTTAGACGGTCTGCCGACAGGCCTTTTCCCTTTCTTCGATAGGCCTAAAACATCCGAATTTTTTCCAACTTTTCCCGATCGGCCTATTTAGCTGAACATCTCGCAAAGTAGGTCTCTTCGACATCTTGAAATACAGATTTCTGTCGGATGATTTTAATCAATCGATGATTAAATTACAATGAAAAATTGATGAGTTAAATCAAGCAAAAATTTGACTGGGTCTTCTTAAAAACGATAACAGTGAAAGTGGGGCTGGGCAGACGTCGTCTGTATTACGTCACAGTCAACGTGTGAACTACGTCATTTATTTTCCAAATACGGTCATGTCACGTAACGTGCTATTGCCCAAACATAGTCAATTTACCTCCGGTATGATCACGTGATCGATCACATGACCAAACGGGATCCCGTTCCTAAAATAAACACAACTATGGGGTAAACCATAGTTGATATTATTATATTAATGAAGATATATTTATTATTAAAAACTAACATATGATAATGGTAACCTGACTGAAGGCAAATATAATATTGAAAATGTAGATAATTATAGTGCTACTAGGGGGATTTGATTATAATTCAGGCAATTAGCACTGAAAAATAATCTCTAGAACTTGATGTAGGGAGAGATTAAATCAAATTGACTATTTCATATTAGACATCAAATAATGTCATGAACTCAGTAATGTTTTAAAGAAATATTTTGGTTTTTTGTCTCTTGAAGGGATATGAAAGTTGGACTTTTAAATATATAGATTAATATTTCAGAGTTTATCAAAATCAGAAAAACAAACACTGATGTTGTGAAAATGTCATTTGATAAAATTACGGTCATTTATTTAATGACAAAATTGCCATGAAGTGACGTTATAAGTGAAAATCCAAAATTAATGAAAAATATGAAAAACATTATTAGCCATCAAATAATGTCATGAGCTCAGTAATGTTTTGAAAATATCATTTTGTCCCTTGAAGGGATACAAACATTTAAAACCTTTTTGATGTAGATTATTATATTATTATAGATTATAATAGTATGCCATCATCAAAGGGTGATCACATCTGTACTTTAATACTAGTAGTATATAAAGTTACAACAAGCCAGATATTTTAAATATATCTCAAAACTCCAAAATATATATTATTTTATAATAAAGACTGGTGTTATTATGTAATATGTAAGCACATTGAGTATAAAAGTCCCTTCACAAAGTAAGGTCTAGGTGTTTCACTTTATTCATCTAACACACATCAGTTTGAACCCAATAGAAACCAACGTGAACTTTAAATGGCCCAATCTAGACACGTTCAAGTTAGACAATATGTCACATTTGATGTAGATCTAACCATTTTAACTTGTTATTTATGGTGTAACAAACCATCAAGAAAACTGAAAGTAGGTCATGATTATATTTTCAATAACGAGGAGACTATTTGATATATGATATTGATAATTTGATATTACCCCCCTTGAAACTAATGGGTGATATGTTTCTAGTGTAGATATGTTTGATTGATTTCTGTACACTATTTATCATTCTGTTCAATAGTTCATCAAATTACTGTAGCCTTAAATCAAACTGTTATTATGAATGGTGTGGAATATTTATGTGGGTATATAGTTTCTGTCTTACAAACTCATATTATATGTTTTTCTTTTCTTTAACAGGAGGCAACTGAACCAATAATGTGCTCATATAAACTGGTGAAAGTAAAATTTGAAGTTTGGGGTCTGCAGACAAAAGTTGAATCCTTTACGCAAAAGGTGAGAACTATGCTAATAGTATTTTGTTCGGCATTAAAGCAGTTGTCTGAAACGTGGATTTAAAGATATTTTTATTCAAGCATAATTAGGGTGTCTGTTTGTTCAACTCATAAAACCAAATTTATGTCTGAAAGTATGAGATATACAAATATTTTGACCAGCAAAAAAAATATCCAATATCCTTATCAACATTATCTTAGCAGTTGTCTGAAATCTGGATATAGAAATATGTTCATTCAAGCATAATTAGGTTGTCTGTTTGTTCGTCCTACAAAATCTATTTTTGTGTGAAAGTATGAGATATAATGACCAGCAAAAATAAAATTATAAAATTCAGTTGAATGATAAGCCCACAATAAATTATACATGTTAAATATTAAAGAACGTAAACCGCTATATGTAAGATGGCAACAATATGTCTTATATCTTTCCTGAAAAAATGGTTCATCTGATTGACTATAATATTTGGGGTTTTAATTTGTAACAAGGCCAAACCAATATAATTTTCAGTTCTTCAGGGCCTTAATAAATAAATAGCTATTTGAATCACTAGAAAGTTATTTAGTTCAAAATTTGGGACTAAAAGCTTTATAATACGTCGTATAGTGGAACCAAGTACTTTTGGTTTTTAAATTAGTCTTTTTCCCGAAGAACAGAAAGTCAAATTGATTAATTTTACGTATATTTCAGTCTATTAGAGATATCTTACTCTTGGGACACAAACAAGCTTTTGCATGGATTGATGAATGGATTGGTAATTATATAAAAAAAATTTTTGATTAAAAAGATTACATTGCAGTTCAGGTCTTAAAACTTGATTAGCCCAGTTGGTGCAGAAAGTAATATTTTGAACTCAAAATGTGAATTAATGCTAAAAATGTGAAAATTACTAGGATCACAACAATGGGGTTGTTGACTTGTTGTCGAACCAAAATGGCAGAGCTGTTTGTTATAACCTGTGACACAGAGCCCATTACTGACAGACCCATCTGGGAAAGTTTGAAAATCGATAAAGAAAACCCGGCAAATTTGCACAGTGCTATGAATCAAGAATTGTAAATGACTCATGGCTGCATTAATTATATAGCACAACTACATCTTACCTGCACATTTTGGGGGCCATTATTGGTTCATAGAGTATAGTGCATGCATATTAACCAATAGATCCCAGGTTGGATCCCTCTGTTGGCCAACAAATTTCTTCCTGATTTTCCAGCCCGGTTTCCTCAACAGTGAAAGATGGAAGATCTGGCTGCCAGCATGTCAAAATCTGACATGTTGAAGAAATTGAAATAACAGTAGACCATAGCACCACTGTTCGAGGAAACATTTGCCTGGTAGCACACTGCATGGCATGTGCTCATCTTCATTAGTTTGGTTGGGGCTAAAAAATATTATGTTTAAACTCCATTTCATTGATCTTATTGAATTACTTTTCAGGAATGACAGAAGAAGATGTTAGAGAGTATGAAAAACAGATGCAGGAAGAGACAAATAAACGGGTCTTAGGCTCACGCTCAGGTTCAACATCATCACATTAAACTAAGTGATATACTCTCTCTCTATTTGACACACTGTCTCCACCTACAATCAAAAACTCAAATATAATAACTCAATCTTCCTTACGTTAAAATGACTAAACCTCTTTGATTTGGTCAAAAATAAATTTTTTAATTTCATAAGATTTGATGGTGATTTTTTTATTCGGAATGGCAATCTGTCTTCATTGAAAATTTTACATCAAAAGATAAAGTCAGCTTTTATTTTAAGACAGAAAACCGATTTTATGTTGGACTGTCAACATATAAGTCAAAAATGAGTAAATAGTCTAACTTTCCCTCTTTTTTTTGCTAACTAATTGTAATAGGACATCAGATCAACAGAACAAACTTTATTTTATACTAAATCAAAGAGTTTTAACTATTTAAAACTTTTAAACATAAACCATTAAAGCATTTATCATGATTGTTAAGAATAGTTTTTAAAAACTTTTTGTCCAAAATACATTTTCAGAGAATAACATATTTTTGAAGATTGTTACATTACAATTGTGATAATGAAATTTGGCCATCGAGAGAAACGTTGTTTCACAATTTGTTGAATTGTTTCAAAGGCATTTAAACTATTTTAGATGTTTTTTTTTATTCTTTAATGGTTGACCATCTTGTCATCTGACATAACACAAACTTTTAATCTTCAATGACTCAAATTTTATTTGCATTTGATGACATTAAGGTACACATATATGTATTTGTTAGTCCGTATTCTGTGTATCACAACCTCTAAAGATCAGAAAGTAGCACCATTTCTTAACATAAATGTACGTCAGCATTATGTGTAGTGTGTAGAGAATTGTCAATTTTAGAGATTTTGCTGTTGCAATGTTTTGAATAGTTTTAGATAAGTAATTTTTTTTCCTATAAAAGGTACGTAGAAAGTTGATTCTTCTGAAAGAGACTTAATGTAATTCAACATTTCATTGTTTGAAAGACATTTTCAAAAATTAAGTGTTGATTAATACAGATCTCAGGCCTAAAAATTGGACGGTTTCTGCTGCAAGAATCGACTAGGATTCTCCTTCAACAGTTTAAAAGCATCAGAGACATCCTTAAGATTACTAGTAAAATTTTGTTTTATATTATAATAACTAGGCTTATTCGCTAAGTATTGCAATAATTTAATGTCTAACAGTAACAAAAATGATTTTGCATTTTTGAAACCTTGGCATAATTGAATCTTAAATTTTTAGGCCAGGGATATTGAGGGATCAAAAATGAAAATGATGGTAATGTTTTATGTGATATTTATCATGGTATTGATTAACAGTTAGAAAAAATCAATCACATCAGACTTGATTGTTTTGAAAATTGGCCTCAAGGTATGTCTTTGATATTGAGAGTTACTACTTGTTAAAATTTTGAATTGTAATATTGTTATTAGAATCTTGTTAGGGTCTTGTTTTGGTTACATTATCAGAAACTTTCCTAACATTTGCAAACTTCATGGCACATTCCTTCCTTGTTGACAAGTAATGAGATGATTGTAAATATATAATTATTGTGATAATAGTATTATAACACTCAGTGTTCATCATACAGTATACTGTGGTCTAGCTTACACTCTGGTCTAGCTTACACTGTGTTCCAATTTTACTCCGAAGTCTAATTTTACTCCGAAGTCTAATTTGACTGTGAAGTTTAATTTGACTGTGAAGTCTAATTTTACACTGAAGTCTGATTTGACTCTGAAGTCTGATTTGACTCTGAAGTCTAATTTGGTGCCGAAGTCTAGCTAAATAATCAGATCTCTTTGTGTTTCATCATTGAAAAGGATCTAAATGACCAACAAACGTAATTTTCTGTTTCAAAAATCTGTTTTAAAAAAAAAATCAACGTCCAATATCTTTATCCAGATCAGATTCCTTGTATTGAGGTTAAACGAGAACACAGTCAGACCACTGACCTAACTCTGAAATGCAGTGTAAACCTGCCGAAGATAAAAATAGTCCCAACATGAACAAATTATCTTATTATAGTTGGTAATGTAAAGTTCAAGTTTTATATATAATATTTGACTTTAAGGATGATATGTTCAAAAAAATAAAACCTTTCTTTTTTTGTTAAATAGAAAAAAATATTCAGATAGAACTTCAAAATATCTTGGGAATACTGAAAATATATTGTGATTAAAGTAAGTGAAAAAGCTAAGGTGATTGGAATTCCACGTCTTCATTAACTTAACATATTTTAGTCTTATGAACAATACATTTTTAATTTTTTAGTTTGTAATACCTGTTCTGTCCTAGGCCCCTGTTTAGTAGTAGATGAGAGGGAAAATTCACTACATTTCTCCACTTTCTCAGTAGTGATGTTGGGTGGCAGAAGGATCTATGGCGTGCACTTTAGATCATAACGTCTCTGAGTCATGTGACATGGTTGCGATTCTCAGGTTGTACATGAGAAGCAGTAGCGTCGCAGGCCAGACCTCATGGGTTTTCGTTGGGTACTCTTGTTTCCTTCCACTGCTACAGATTCCTACTCGCAACCGAATTATTGAAATGTCCTATCAAATAAAGATTTTGAGAGGGATTAATTTTGCTCCAAAGGAGAGCAGGAGAATAGGAGGAAAGAGATTCTGACAAAAATTTATCCAGGGGCCCTGAGCAGGAGAGGAGGGCCAAAGAGATTCTGACAAAAATTTATCCAGGGGCCCTGAGCAGATCCGATATTTCAGACTATTCTTGTTATATTGATGTTTTAGGAGTCAGTGATATCAATGTTCTATCAATGTTTTTGTATATTTGAATGTTGTCTGTGATAAGGTTTATAAATATGTTAATAATGAGTAGTTGTCATGATCTACAAATAATGAAAACAATAAAAAAAAAAACCATTCATTAAAAATATTATGTTGAATATCAGACACTTCTACCAATTAATCTATCTTACATTTACCCTTAATTGAAATATTCTTATGCTAGACCCAAAACCCTTTATATCTATATACCATGATCTATTTATTATAGGTATATATCCTGACAATTGAGAGTCTAAATACGTAACCATTCATTGAAAAATATATTCAAACTCTTTTTTTTCCAGTCGTAAGAAATATAGTTTTCAGGTTGCAATCGATGACATAATTAATGTTGAGGGAATATATATCTTTAATACATTCTTTACTTTTTAGATCCCCCCATATAAAAAATAAAATACAAAAAAAATATATATCTCCCTGTCCTGATTTGTTATTAGGAATGTTATTAACGAGATGAATATTTTGTGGTATATATATATATATGTATGTATAGTTGTCTTTTTGAATCAATTGTACCAACATGTCAATAAATAGGCCATAAACTAGCTCAATTAAATGGTAGATCTATTTTGTAAACTTATGTGTTTAATATATAAGTAATAAGTACAGGAGGGATGTATAGATGGAATGTTGTGACAAGATATTTGACAACGATTCTGATGATTGACAATGATTGATGTGCGTCCATGCAAGTGACAATAGTATAATAAATATATGGTTGTTATCCTCTGTATTGTCAAGTATTATAATCATGTTATATTATTAAATGTCGTACATAGAAAAGTGTTAATATACCTTTATCCACTGGCAAGTTGTGAGAAAATGAATATAAGGGCATAGTAGTGGCGTGCGGAGGTATGTTTGTGCTTTGTTGCGACGTTTAATTCTGCAACTCCCTTAGTTAAACGGGGAAAGAATCTGTGAGCAAAAATATAACAGGGCAATGTTTATTGCTCCCTGGCGAAATGTCAAATTTTGCACCTCCCTTCTCGAATTTAGTCCGGTGAAGGACAAATTTATCAAGGTAGCCAATATGAATTTTGGACTTCCTGTGGGCTGTGCCCGAAGTTGTCACCTACCCTATCTCTACTCCTCTGTACGCTACTGGTTTATAGGGTTGTATTTTAATATTTTGTTGAGGTTATACAACTTGCAAGTGGAAGAAGGTGGTGTTATATTTTTAAATCTTTTATTCTAGAATATATTATCTCGTATATATATTATTGTTGTTTTTTTTAAATTTGTGTCAAGTGTATTGTGTAGAGAAATGTATGTAATGTCTATATATTCTGATAGAAAATAATTATGACATGTATTTTTCTTGCCATACATTATTATGCCATGCATATTGCTAGCACTAACAGCATGTAATATATATTTATAGCTTATGTATCATTAGTCATGCTTAAAGAGGCAATGGGCCAATCACAGGAGATTTGACTTAAAAAATTTATCAGTGAGCTTCAGATAATTACGTTCGAAAAATTTATCAGAGCTTCAGATGATTACATTCAGTAAATTTATCAGAGCTTCAGATGATTACATTCGAAAAAATTTATCAGAGCTTCACATAATTACAGTCTGAAAAATTTATCAGAGCTTCAAATTTGAGTTATTGACGAAATCTCATTGCCTCTAAATAAAATCGTTATTAAATTATTTGTATTGCTACTTATTTATACATGTATTTTAAAAGTCCCATGAACTCACTCATAAAAATGAGGAGTGCATTTTGTCCGAATTTAAATAACTTGGTACCACAGGTGCTTTTAAAAGTGAGTTTTCAGATGTGTTATTTGCCCCTGAAATGGATTATCTCCCATATATGAATATAAAGATAAAAGACTTGAGGCATAATATTAAAGTCAACTGTATGTTAATTTGAAAGAGGTTTTCCATTTTACAAGCACCTGTGCTTACCAGTAATTTATAATACCCCAAATTTTCATTCATATCATTTTAAACATGAATTAAGAGGGAAGTACAGATCTTTAATTAACAAAATAAGCTGGAAATAGAATTATGTATGAAAATTGCAAAACTATTATTGAGTAAACATTAGATAACTACACCTCTTTACTGAGGTCAAAATTAAATAAGATGAATATATTAATATTATTTACATAATTGGAAATAGATTTTGAGATATGTTATAAAATATGAATTATAAATCAAGATGCCTGTGAACAAAACATACAGAAACCAGATTGGATATCAGTCGTACTTGGAGGAGATCTCTAATGACTAGTTAGTTATGTGTAATAGACAGTGCAACTCGGTAACACAAGCCTGGTTGGTGCAGAAAAGTCCCATTTCATTTGTAACAAACAACAGCACACAATCCAAAATGTCAAAATTAGTGGCCAAGCCCTTCACAACAACATACCAGTAAATAAAACAATTCATGGAGTTTTATAAGAAACCGAATGTCAAAATGAATACAATAATTGAACAACAACCTTCCATGTTACATGTTCTGAAGAGAGATTCTTCCTT